TTGCTAGACAGTCCAGTTTCACCCCGTATGAGTCTGGGTCCCCAGAGACTCACCTGGAACTGGAGTTCAGAGCAGTCGGGAGCTTGTGTCTCCCTCCCGATTGAATAAAACAACCGTGTCCTCAATTTTCAGCCCTTTCCGTGCGCGCCTCCATACCTCTGCACTTTACTTTCACACCACACCTCCTCTGAGTCTCAGTGTGCTTTTCTCTTTCCTTCTGGTTGTAGAATTTCCACTCAGCCAACCATCCTGTGGTTCTGGATGATGTCCATTTTGTCTTTTAGTTGTAATTTTGAAGTGGTTGTGGGAGGCAGCAATTTCAGGTGTTTACCTATGCCGCCATCTTGGTTCTCCTCCCTTAGAGTTTTAGAAGTTCCAGTTTTATGTGATGTCCCATATGCCTCACCTATTTTAATTTTAATTTTTTAAAAAAATATATATTTTATTGATTTTTCACAGAGAGGAAGGGAGAGGGATAGAGAGTTAGAAACATCGATGAGAGAGGAACATCGATCAGCTGCCTCCTGCACACCCCCCACTGGGGATGTGCCCGAAACCAAGGTACATGCCCCTGACTGGAATTGAACCTGGGACCCTCCAGTCCGCAGGCCGACGATCTATCCACTGAGCCAAACCAGTCAGGGCTAATTTTAATTTTTAAACTTTTTCTAGGAAATAAGTATATGATTATATTTGTCTTATCAAGGAAGAAATTTTGGTAGAGATCACATGATAAGTGAAAGTAGTAAAGGAAAAACCCAAATATGTTTAGCTCCAGTCTCTTTGGCTTTAACCATGTTAGTGTAATGACCATATAATGCTCCTGATTCATCAATGTGCTTGGCCCATTATGGGTTCTTATGCAGTAAAGGTTCCCATTCTTCCCCATATTTCTCAGCAGGGAAAGGTTGTTTTCAAACTAATTTTAAGCATGGGATGAAGAAAAAATGGATATAAGGCAAGAAGACAGGAGGGTTGAGTATCAAGCTGCAGCATTGAAATTATATTCCTCATCCGTAATGACACCGCTCACAGCTCCAAGATGTTTTCGAGGCGGTGATCCAGGTGATTAGTGAGGAGAAAGCACAGTGAGTTCTACCAGGAGCCTTTAAAACTCCACCTGGCTGTTCAAGGAGATCCTATTATCCTAACCTCAGTCATATTCTTCCCTGCATAGTAATGAGCTTTCCCCCAGGTGAAGCATGGCTTATAATCACCCATAACCTTGCAGAGCTGCCTTGATCCAATGGGCAGGGCCCTGGGGAAAAGTACCTTTCTGCCCTTTATCCAGGAATCAGCAACCTGCTAGCTAAGTCCCTATATTGTAAGTAAATTTGAAGATACTACTCTAGCAACCCTCAAAATAGCCTGAGTGGGAGTAGGTATTTTCTTTATTCTCCCAGTTCAGAAACTTAGGCTTCAAGATGGGAAATCAATTGTCCTCAGTCTAAGACTGACTACCTGGTGGGACCAGGAATAACCTGGTATATATTTGGCTCAAAGTTTATGACTTTTTCTACTGTTCTTCTCTGCTGAAGTGACCAACTGTGCCCTTCCACCTTCCTGTGTGCATTCACGAGTTCTACCTACAATGATAGCCATGAGTATAAAAGGCAATGTATCCTACTGATTGGGTCTACCCACTGCTCCCATCTCTTCTATTAGGGAGTGATGTAGATCATAGATCAGCCTCTTGATGCAGGCAGAGACCTGTCTCCTGGTGAAAATAGAATAAATGAAGGTGCTATATTATTCTCATTATCTTCTGTGACCCATATGGGCGGAATCCTTAAGGCAAAAGTCCTATGGCTTACCATGAGTGCCTATCCCATTGTTTAGCTCACACTCCAGAGCCCTTGATCACCTTTGTAACCTCTCTAAGTTGGAAATTTATGTGATTCTAGATTTATAGGTAGAGAAAATAATTGGATAATATCACAGTGTATTGACTGAGTGCTTTTACACGTCTGTCTCAATTTCAGTTCTGATGCCTACAAATCAATATTTCTCTTCTCTGAAGTGAGGTCATCCTACAGTTGTAGGAAATCCAATAAGAAAATAAATATGAAAACTCCATAGGAATGCGTTTGTATCAATAACCACTTAAAAAATATATAGCAAATGCCTCCAATCTGTAGGAGGAAGCCTTCTGTCATGCCATATTGTAGGCCAATGCTCTCAAGTGTGCTTTTTGCACCAGCAACATCACCTGGGAATTCGTAATGCTAAGCCTGAGGCTCTTCCTCAGTGAGAACCAGAAATCTGTGTTTTAGCATTCCCTACAGATGTTTCTGATGCAAATTAAAGATTGATAATTATGGCTACAGATAGACTGTGGACATGTGGACTGGGAAATGTTTTCAGTGATGACACCACTAATGTCCATGAGTCCTTAATGGATGTTTTGGACTAACCCTCTCTTTGCCTGGCTATTACCTGATTTGCATGCTCCCCAGAACTTCGCGTGATGTAAAGGTGTGATGACCTTCCAAACACTGTTGAAGGGACGAGAGTGGGAAGGTAGATATAGAGAGAAGACTGACCCAGAACAAGCCTCTTTGCTTTAATGAACCAGGGATCCTATGGCAGGAGACAGAGGCTGGCATGCTTAAACAGTAGCAGCAGTGGTCACCATTATTATATAGTTTTCAGTTTCTTAGTAGCTGACAGTTGTCAATTCTCAGTCGGTGGCAGATTTAATTATTGGATCTTAAAGGTTTAATGTCTTTAAGCGGAGCACAGCACCGGGTATTCGTGGGACATTTCCATTTTGAAATA